TACAACAAATGAGTAGTTTTGGAGAAGAAGAAATTGTGTATCTTGCAGAATATTATAGTATAGATCAAATTGAAAATAGTCAAGTATTTTCAGCTCTTATTAATAAATTTGAGCTTATTAAAGAATAGCGAATGGCTAAATTAATTTTATGTAATTTTACAACTTTTCAATTTGTTGAAGGATGGGAGTTTATTTTTCATACTACTCTATTTATTACTCAATATTCTAATTTAACTCAAATTATTCATTTAGCATTTATAGTTCCTGTTTCAAATGAAAATGTTGAACATATATTTTCTCAACAAAATTTAATTAAAACAAAACTTCGTAACCAGATGAAATTAAATACACTTAATTCTCATTTAATGATAGTTATGAATAGGCCTTCTTTAGATAAATTTAATTTTAAGAAAGCATATGAATTATGAAAACGTAGTCCTAGAAAAAAATAGTAGTTAAATTTTTTCTCTTTTTTTTTGTTTATATTTTATAAAATAAAATTATATGAAATAAATTTGTATTAAATAAAATTTTTTTAAGTAAAAAATTTTTTTCTGCATAAATTAAATTTTTTCTGCAAATATATTATTAATTAAAAATGTAATTTGCAACTAGTATACTAATTCTGCAACTTTTATTTAAATAATAAATATATATCATATATAATTTTAAAATCTAATTTTAAACACTGCTTGTTAGACAATGCAATTTAATGAGTAAAATTAATATATTTTACTAAATTATATTACTGAATAAGTATTTTTAAAGGAGCTATAATTATTTAATATTGTTTGCTCCTTTATAGTTTATTGTTTTTAACATTTGTTTTATATAATCTTTTTTATTAGACATGCAATAAGGATTTTTAATGTAACTCTTATAAAGGGTCTCATAAGTTTCTGTTGTCATGCCATTTATTAACCCATATTCTTTGATTTTAGGTACTATATGATAGTACCAAGAGTGAAATTTTGGAAGTTTAAGACTATTTTGTGAATATTTTGAAAATATTTTAATAAACTTCTAAGGCCAATCCATAATGAATGTCTATGAAATTAATTGTTAGTAATTTAGTAATTAAAAAAAAACCAAATATTTGCTTATACCCGAAGCTGATTACATGACTAGTTAGTAAATGATTCCTCTTGAGTAACAATATACATTCAAAAAAATTTGAAATATACTTAACATAGCTGATAATTACTAATGCCAAGCTTTTTATACTTATTGTATAAATTATCAAATATGAAAATTACTATTTTCATTAAATTTCACAATTCATCTGCTGTTAAACATGTCATATCTGACACATTTTTTATTATTTTAAGGCCATAATATCTAGGAATCAATGCTAATCATTGTTTAAAGATTTGAAACACATGACTTTCGCATTGTTCATACAAAAGCTTTTTAGTATATTCTAGCATATACTTAAAGAAACCAAGGTTCAAGATATGCATTCAATCAGGAACAATACTTTTATATATATTGAAGTTCCTAAAATTTTACAATTTATATTATATAAATTTAATAAATAATT